AGCCCATAAGATAAGACTTAAATATCATAGGTGGAGACCTGTCGCTCAGTGGTTAGAGCGCTTGCCTCGTAAGCGAGAGGACCTGGGTTTGATTCCTGGGCAGGGCAAAACGTTGGGCAAGTTTCCTTACTCCACAAACCTCTGTTTACCGAGTAGTACATAGGAACCTGGTTGTTAGTCGATTGGCGGATTGCTTTTCCGGGGGTAATAAGCACTCCAGAATTGTAAATTGTATTGTGTGTAAAAAAAAGCCTTGATTCAGTTGGTAGCATTCTCGCCTCTGAGCCAAAGGTCATAGGTTCATGCCTCATGTCGGCACTTTGAACTTTCATACTTCAGGCGGACACGTTAATGCTTGGCTGAAGGTTTCCTGTGTTGCCGGAGGTGCCATCTTTTGCATGTGACATTAAACCAAGGTCCACCTGTCTGTTCGGAAGGATGTAAAAATCTCATGACACTATTTGAAAAGAAAAGGGAGGTTTTCCCCACATAAAATTAGTCATTCACATCATGACTGATTGTGGGACATTGCTGTGGATAAATTGGCTTCCACCTTTGCTTACAAATACAGTTACTGCATTTTACAGTAAAATCATGCGAAACACTTTGAGAAGTTCCNAAAAAAGTAATAAGGAACTATATGAATGCAAGGATTATTATCATATATATTATTATCATTATCATTGTGGAGTCCTGTAGCTCAGTGGTTGAGCACTCGCTTTGCAAGTGAGAGACCTGAGTTCAATTCCAGGCAGAGGGCGAAACCTCGGGCAAGTTTCCTTACTCCACACAGAGCCTAATAATAATCCCTCCAAAACCAAACAATAATAAATTGGTCATTTTCAATCCACGACTGTTTGTGGGACATTGCTGTGCGCAATTGGCTGCCGCGTTCGCCCACAAATATACAGTCAATTCACTTTACAGTGTGTTCTGTGAAACACTTTGGGACGTCCTCCCCACGTGAAAAGCGCTATATCAAATGCAAGGATTATTATTATTATTATTACAGTCCTCCTCACTATTTACTACCCGACCTAACTTGGTATCATCTGCAAACTTGGAAATAGTGCTCTCTATGCCCAAGTCCAGATCATTAATATATATTAGAAAGAGCAGTGGTCCCAATACCGATCCCTGGGGGACACCGCTGCACACCTCCTCCCATTGCGAGAAACACCCATTAACCACCACCCTCTGCTCTCTGTCGCTCAGTCAGTTCCTAATCCAAACTGCCACTGTCCCTTAATACTGTGAGCCTCTCATTTTTGTATTAATCTCTTATGCGGTACTGTGTCAAAAGCCTTTTTGAAATCCATGTAAATAACATCCACCGCATTTCCCTCATCAACCCTCACAGTCACCTCTTCAAAATCCCTCTTCTTGAGCTCATATAGTCTAAGCTGACGCTCCAATGCAGTGCCGGGGTGTTGCTGAATTGTTAGAGGTGCCGTCCTTCGGATGAGACATTAAACCAAGGTCCAGTGTGCCTGTTAAAGTTCCTATGGCACTATTAAAAAAAAGGGAGTTTCCCCCAGTGTCCTGGATAACAATCCCCCAAATAAAATTGGTCATTTCATTTCATGGCTGTTTGTGGGACAGTGGAGTCCTGTAGCTGAGTGGTCAGAGCTCTTTCAGCCACTTTTCCCCTCCTCTCCCAGCTAGCCCCACCTCCAGCTGGCCCCGCCTCACAGCAAGCCCCACCTCCAGCTGGCCCCGCCTCACAGCAAGCCCCACCTCCAGCTGGCCCCGCCTCACAGCAAGCCCCCCTCACAGCAAGCCCCACCTCCAGCTACCCCCCAGCTACCCCCACCCCCCAGCTGGCCCCGCCTCACAGCAAGCCCCGCCTCACAGCAAGCCCCGCCTCACAGCAAGCCCCACCTCCAGCTACCCCCCAGCTACCCCCACCCCCCAGCTGGCCCCGCCTCACAGCAAGCCCCACCTCCAGCTACCCCCCAGCTACCCCCACCCCCCAGCTGGCCCCGCCTCACAGCAAGCCCCCCCCACCGCTGGCCCCGCTCACAGCAAGCCCCACCCCCAGCTACCCCCCACCCCCCCAGCTGGCCCCGCCTCACAGCAAGCCCACCTCCAGCTACCCCCCAGCTACCCCCACCCCCAGCTGGCCCTCCTCACAGCAAGCCCCACCTCCAGCTACCCCCCAGCTACCCCACCCCCCAGCTGGCCCCTCCTCACAGCAAGCCCCACCTCCAGCTACCCCAGCTACCCCCACCCCCAGCTAGGCCCCTCCCAACTAGCCCCCCCCACCAGCTGCCCTCCCAGCTAGCCCCCAGCTAGCCCCACCCCCCAGCTAGCCCCACCCCCCCAACTAGCCCCCCCACCAGCTGCCCCCCAGCTAGCCCCCAGCTAGCCCCCACCCCCCAGCTAGCCCCCCCAACTAGCCCCCCTCCAGCTGCCCCCCAGCTAGCCCCAGCTAGCCCCCACCCCCCAGCTAGCCCCACCCCCCCAACTAGCCCCCCCACCAGCTGCCCCCCAGCTAGCCCCCAGCTAGCCCCCACCCCCCAGCTAGCCCCACCCCCTCCAACTAGCCTCTCCCCCAGCTAGCCCCCACTCCCTCCAGGTAGCACCCCCCCACCCAGCTAGCACCCATCCCCCACCCCCAGAAGGTTGAGGAATGGTGTAATAAAGGGTTCTTAAATAAATTTAATAAATTGGTCGTTTTCAATCTACGACTGTTTGTGGGACATTGCTGTGCGCAATTGGCTGCCGCGTTCGCCCACAAACATACAGTCAATTCACTTTACAGTGTGTTCTGTGAAGCGCTTTGGGACTTCCTCCTGACGTGAAAAGCGCTATATCAAATGCATGGATTATTAAAAGAGGATTAAAGATGCTTAAAGGGCTTCAAAGAATTAATCATGAAAACCTCTTTACATTAATAGGGGATTCAAGAACAAAAGGGCATGAATTCAAGATTTTTACTCAGGGAGTAAAATGAGAGGTTTGGAAGAATGTCTCCCAAAGATACTGAATGATTTCCCAGGGGTGGCTGTTAAGATGATTATTTGAACCTGACCAGAACATTTTCCAGACAGATTGACATTTCCATTCCAAGTGGGGAAAATTATGCCTCTATCAATAGAGTATTACCATCATTTCATATTTTTTTTTACCAGAACGGCTATTTAAACTAAGTATATCATGCCGTCCATTAGAGCATGTTCCTTCAATAAAATAAAACGTTTCCCCACAAAGTCCATGAAACATACTCCTCCTGGGTGTGTTTTGCTGCTTGTGTATACTCAGGGCCTGAAGCATCAGTTTTCATATTCGATCTTGAGGAACATGATGGATGCTGTTTGAAATCCTGCCCAATATATAATATCCAGAAACACATCTCTGATATTTTGCCATTAGCTTTTCTCAGTAAATTGCAGCAGAAAATAGAAAGAACATTACAAGGGCGCATCAGAGAAAATGATTCCCCAGTAACTCTCCCAAACCTGACTGCAATAGCTGTATTTCCAGCTGGGTCTGTTGGTGAATATCACCATTATACAGTTTGAACGTGGGCTGAGTTAGCTAATCTCAGCATGGAAGGAAAGTAGAGGTAAGATTGGCTCCAATGTCTCTGGATTGATGAAGATAAAAATCCTCCAGGGTTCCTGCTCTTGATCATTATCAAGTGAGTCCCTCCTGCTTCAGAATATATATATATAATTTTTTTTTACCAGCCATGTGTCTGACACATGCGAAAACCCATCACCGTTGCTTAAGAGTATCCAAACCATGTATCCCACCTACACATGGAAATCTCAGAGATAGATTGTTGGAATGGAATGCGCTTTCTTTCTCTTCCCCGAGGGACACATCCTACTTATCTAATTCCGAAGAGTATTAGGCGCAGGTTGGCAAAACCCAAGACTTGAGGACATCAGAGTGTGCGTTGGGGTAACTGCTGGAGTCTAACCAGCTAAACCAGCATAGCTTGCCATTGATATTGCCGTTAGGGCTTTGACTGCAGGGTTAACAGGAGCTGAGTGGGCAGATTCCCTGCCCCCAGTGACTGGTCTGCCCTTCCAGGTCCTGCCAATGAGCCAGGCTGGCTTTGCTGTCATCATCAATGCCCTAGAATATTGTGGACCCGCATGGCTCAGGAACCAGACTACCAGGACCATCGCAGAGGGCTGGCTCAATTAATAATAATAATCCTTGCATTTGATATGGTGCTTTTCACATCTTCTAGACGTCCCTATATGTGTGGGGTCATTCTAACTCTACTTACATCGGGACTTGAAGCTCATATAGTCTAAATTGACACTTCAATGCAGTGTTAGTGATGTGCTGCATTTTTGGAGGTTTAAAGATCAGATGTCTGCGTCCTGTCTGCCTGTGCAGTGGGACATTAAAGATCCCACGGCACTCTTCGAAAAGAAAAGGGAATTTCACCTGGTGTCCTGGCCAACAATCCCCCAAGTAAAATTAGTCATTCAGTTCATGGCTGTTTGGGGGACATCCTGTGCACAAATTGGCTGCCACATTCACGCTCAAAACACAGTTACAGAATATCCTTTGGGTTAGCCTCCCAACTTGAAAGGCATTGGACCATATAAGAATTTTTATTGTTATTAATATACTCCTGTATGAATCATTGCCTTTGTAAGTAGAGGAAGCATTGAGAAGGGAAGAAATGTTGAGCAATTGATCAACAAAGTAATCCTAACTTACTTTTTTTGAGGTTGAATCTTGTCCCCATTTCTATTGAATAGGAGGACTCTTTGCTAAGGTGCACTGATCACATTCTGTACCCAATTGGCACCATTGAGCCTGGTCAGTGAATGTTGGTGGCCTATCTGATGGAAGAGGGGTGGGTAATGACAGATACTAGCGCTCAGGATGCTACCTACCCCGTGAGAAGGTGCTATATAAATGCAAGTTGTTGTTGTTGAACTATAATTTCTTCTGGTTTAGTACTTGTCTGACATTTATATAAGTGCACTTTCCAGCAGAGGGTTTTTACTGTACTTTTCTTTTCCTTCCAGACGTGGTTCCAGAAATTCCATTTTCACGATCTGAAACAGAATTACAGACATCTCTCGTCCACGGGCCTTTTCAGATCTTTGGTGGACAAGGCTCCCCCAGGACTGGCTGTGTTCAAGAGCAGTGACACCGGCTTGATGGCATTCCTGAACCCCCGACGCTGTGGTGTTCCTGATCTCCCTCAGCAGGGTAATGGGCATAGCAAGCAGAACCGTCAGAAACGATTTGTGATTGCTGGGGATCGATGGAACAAAACTGACCTGACATACAAGTATGAAAATCAGTGTAACTTTACTGAGATGATTCTGTTACTAGGATTGTAAATGAGATTGGCAATGTAGCATACTAGGTCTGTATATGGAGTCAATACAGATATCAGACATCTAAATTTTAGGTATGAACCTGCCTCATTTGGAAGCGATCTCACTTGTGAGTCAGATGGTTGTGGGTTTAAGCACCATGTTGGCAATTTGAGTTGCACTCACTCCAATACAATGCTGGTCTACACTGCATGGTCCGAGTTGATGTTCTGTGGATGAGATATTAAAATAACATCCCAACTGCCTGTTCAGTTAGATTTTAAAGATCTCATAATTAAGGCTGTAAAAAAAGTTGTGATATTAGGTCCAAATGTTGCAGTGACAGTGTATTAAACCTGTGGTTGTGGTGTAGTTAGTTCAAGTACCTCCAGTGGGTACACACTTCCATTGGACCATCCACTGCCCATCACACATCCCATACTCTCATTGGAATATCCTACCAACAGGATGAGTTGATTGGTCATGCTGTGTGTGGGGCAAAGCTGTGTGCATCCACAGTCACTACACTTTACAGAAAGCACCTTAAGATGTTGCAACATAAAAAGATGCTATATTATAATACCAATCTACGCATTTGGTATTGTGACTTATCATATCATTCCCAATGCAGATCAAGCTTGTGGTGTATCAGACCTGTGAGCAAACTGTGGATCTGAGCTCCTGGGGCTGTAGTGGAGAGGCTCCTCTGACTCATCTGCAAAGTCAGGGTTCAAGCAGTGAGATGAGTTTGTGGCAAACACGGCAAGTGGCTGCAGGGAGCGAGGGCTCCGGCCTACTCTGACCTGTCACTGAGTATCCTGGAGGTGGAGTTGGTGCCACTGTCTATTTGCCGAGGCCCCTCACATGAGGACCTGCGCTAAGCAGCTGGTGCTGAGTAAGCCTGGTACACGGCATTGGACTTGGACCTCGAGAACATCAAGGTGGTCGGCACGTCACAAGCTGCCCCGTAAAGGTCCTCCCCCCACATTGAAGGCAGATGTCTATCAGATAGCTGATAGTTCAGAGCCGATGAGGAAACCCTGAGGCTGGGGCGGCAGCTGCTGAAGGTGTTACCCGGAGCCTGAGTTTGTGACACACATCCATACGTCCAGCGCCTGGAGCCCACCTTGATTGGCTGCAGAGAGGCCAGCAGCTGCTGCTTAAACTCCACACCTCCAACATCGAGTCCTGGACCAGAGACAACTTTCTTCAGCTCAATGTTCGCAAAGCTGAGGCCCTCCTGATTGGCTCGCGTCAGCGCATCCGCACCTCAGGCGCTGACAGCATCAGCTCCGCACTCTCCACCTCTCAAAGCCATCAGGAACCTCGGCGTTTTCTTCGACCCTGAGCTGTCCTTTCTTCCTTATATCCGCGCCACAACTGGCACTGCTTTCCATCACCTCCGGAACATCGCCAGACTACGGCACTACCTCACCCCTCACGCGGCTGAAACTCTGGTCCACGCCTTTATCACCTCAAGGCTGGACTATGGGAACTCTCTCCTCGTCGGCCTTCCCGGCCCTCCCTCCACACTGGAGGTCATTCAGAACTCTGCAGCTCGTGTACTGTCCCGCACCAGACACCGCGACCACATCACTCCCACCCTCGCCCTCACCCTCACCCTCGCCCTCGCTCGCCTCCACTGGCTCCCCATCCCCCAGAGGATCGAATTCAAGATCCTCATCCTCACCTACAAGGCCATTCACGGCCTTGCTCCCTCCTACCTCTCCGACCTACTATCCCCCTACTTACCCGCCTCTACCCTCCGTTCCTCTGGCTTCGGTCTGCTCCACATCCCCCGCCCCAACCGCCCTACCATCGGTGGCCGGGCCTTCAGCCTCTCAGCCCCGAGGCTCTGGAAATCCATCCCCCAGTGCCTTCGCCGCTTCCTCCCTTTCCTCCTTCAAAGCCGGTCTCAAGACCTTTCTCTTTAGCCGTGCCTTCACCTCCCCTCTCGATCCTGTACCCCCTCCTCGCTCCCTCCCATCCTTACCCTCACCCTGACCATTTCCCCCCTGCTCGGGTCCTGACCCAAGCGCCTTGGGACATCTCCCGACGTGAAAGGTGCTCTATAAATGCAATCTTGTTGTTGTTGTGGTGGAACCATCGCTCAATGGGAAGGGACGTGTGCCTGAGCTGCGGACACGAAGATGGTGGCAATGCTCTCACATATTTCATGTTAAGATGTGTTGCCCACTGGGAAGCTCACAGGGAGTTCCTGGTACCTGCCATCCACCGAGTGAGGCTCAAACCTGAGTTCAATCCCAGGCAGAGGGCGAAACCTTGGGCAAGTTTCCTTACTCCACACAGAGCCTAATAATAATCCCTCCAAAACAAAACAATAATAAATTGGTCATTTTCAATCCATGACTGTTTGTGGGACATTGCTGTGCGCAATTGGCTGCCGCGTTCGCCCACAAATATACAGTCAATTCACTTTACAATATATCCTGTGAAGCGCTTTGGGACGTCTAGAAGATGTGAAAAGCGCTATATCAAATGCAAGGATTATTATTATTATTATTATTATAAACCGGGCTTGTCATGTGTTGAACAATTAACTCGTAATTAAGCGGGGTCTTCGTGGAGCTGAACAGGCTCAATAGTGACAAGTTTGGGCAACAGAATGTCAGAATCAAGCCAGCCCTCTGTGGTGGTCACGAGTCCGATTCTTCAGCCAGGTGGGTCTGCAGTATTCCAGGGCTCTGCTGCTGACAGCACAGCCAGCCTGGCTCATTGGCAGAACCTGGAAGAGCAGACTGGTCACTGGGGGCAGGGATAATAATAATAATAATAATCCTTGCATTTTGATATAGCGCTTTTCACGTCGGGAGGACGTCCCAAAGCGCTTCACAGAACACACTGTAAAGTGATTGACTGTATATTTGTGGGCGAACGCGGCAGCCAATTGCGCACAGCAATGTCCCACAAACAGTCGTAGATTGAAAATGACCAATTTATTATTGTTTTGGGTTTTGGAGGGATTATTATTAGGCTCTGTGTGGAGTAAGGAAACTTAACTCAGGTCTCTCGCTTGCAAAGCGAGTGCTCTAACCACTGAGCCACAGGACTCCACAGATATATCCCACTCAGCTCCTGTTAACCCTGCAGCCAAAGCCCTAACGGGGAGGGTGGTCTCTCGCTGGACAAGCAGCGGGAAAGCTGGCCAGACAGTGATATCAATGGCAAACTATGTGGTTTCAGCTGGTTAGACTCCAGCAGTTACTCCAACACACACTCTGAGGTCCCCCAAGCCTTGGCTTTTGCCACCCTGGCCTTACACTTTCCGGAATTAGATAAGCAGGACACGTCCCTCAAGGGAGAGAGAGCGCATTCCATTCCAACAATCTATCTGGAATTTCCATGTGTAGATGGGATGCATGGAATTCCCAGTTTGATTTGAAGACTGTTAAGCACGTGATGGGTTTCCTCATGTGTCAGACATCCGGCTGAGCAAAATAAAAAACATGTCATTGAGACATCTCAAATGTTTCATACAATATAATATATATATATATATTATCAGTGGTGTGATGTCATGTGTAAGTGAATGCAGCAGAACATTTGTGCACAACAATCTCCCACAAATAGCCGTGGAGTGAGTGACCAATTTATTTTCGGGTATTGTTGCCCAGGACAATGGGAGAAGCTCCTCTTTTTGAATAGTGCCATGGAGTCTTTAATATCCATCTGGACAGGCAGACAGGACCTTGTTTTAACATTTAACCTGAAGGACGGCACCTCCAACACTGCAGCATACCTCAGCACTGCATTGGAATATCACTGTAGACTAAATGGATTCCAATTCCCACAGTGGGGCTTCAAGCCACAACCTTCTAACTCAGAGACGAGAGTGCTATTAACTAATCTTGGCTGACACATGTTAAATGCAAGGATTATTATTGCACAATGCTGAATATAAAGATTTTACTGAAACTACTGTGGAATGAGGGCTGATTTTGCAGTTTTATGTGTATTGTAGGGTCAGAGAGTAAGATGACATCTGCCAACATCAGCAGAACTGAACTAAAGCAAGCGTACTTAAAATGAGTTCAGGTAGTGTCAGAATCCAATTCCTCCCTAACTCTTACCTAGGATGACCTTGAGGAACCTACATTCACCAATGTGATTGCACTATCCAATGGTGCAACTGACTCTAAACTAGAGCTCAGGAGCATTAACCCCAGGTCTGTCTGTCATTTAGACCCACTTTCTTCAGCTGAATAATATCTGTCAGATTTAAGACAAGATTCTCAATATGTTATTACAGTGAAACAAGGTTTATGCCATGGCACTGCAGGGACAAGAGATAGCAGATAATGTTTATTCCTGATAAATACTCACCTCGAGCATTATTTCAGTCATGCTTGATTCAACTTGGTGCACTTCAGGAGCTGTCTCTTTAAGTTGCTCTGTTGCTTCATTTGATGTTTCAAAGAAATTTTGTCTACAAATAGAGTCAGTAACATCTTAGGAAAGGATTTCAGACGTCTTGACAATGTGATAAGGTGCAATATCAAATGCAAGGTTTATTATTATTAACAATAATAAATTGTGGCATCCTGTAGCGTATTGGGGAGAGCATTCACCTCGCATGTGGGAGGACCAGGGTTTCGATTCCCAGCAGGGTGAAATGTTGGGCAAGTTTCCTTACTCCACTCCTCTGTTTACCGAGCAGTAAGTAGCAACCTGGTTATTAGTTGATTGGTGGATCGCTTTCCAGGGATAATAATGCCTTTTAAAAAAATTTGGTCACTCAATCCATGATATCTGTGGGATGCTACTATGTGCAATTGGCTGCTATGTTTCACCCACAAAATATACAGCCAATTCACTACACAGTATATTCTGTGAATCGCTTTGAGATGTCTCAACGATGTGATAAGGTACTATATCAAATGCAAGGATTATTATTATTCGTGGAGTCCTGTAGCTCAGTGGTTAGAGCACTCGCTTTGCAAGTGAGAGACCTGAGTTCAATTCCAGGCAGAGGGCCAAACCTTGGGCAAGTTTCCTTACTCCACACAGAGCCTAATAATAATCCCTCCAAAACCAAAAACAATAATAAATTGGTCATTTTCAATCTACGACTGTTTGTGGGACATTGCTGTGCGCAATTGGCTGCCGCGTTCGCCCACAAATATACAGTCAATTCACTTTACAGTGTCTTCTGTGAAGCGCTTTGGGACGTCCTCCCGACGTGAAAAGCGCTATATCAAATGCAAGGATTATTATTATATTATTATTATTATTATTAAAGATAGCAATTGCAATATAGCTTTGTGATTATTATGCCTGGGAGCCATCCATGTATGAGAATACTCAACCAGAATTACAGATAAAAGAAACCACATCCTTAAAAACATAAATGTCCTGGATATTATAGTATTACAACAACAAAAACAATTTGCATTTATACATAGTGCCCTTCACATAGCATAATGTCTCAGAGCATTTCACATTGACTGGGATGGACACCGAGCAAAGCAGAGGAGGGAAGGGGAAAGGGTCAATGGCAGTAGACACGTTCAAAGAGGCTACAGGTCAACTTGTAAAGAGAGGGGGCAAGAAGGAAATCAGAAGAAGGAGGGAGTTCCAGAGCTTAAGAGTTGGGGCCTCAGTCACATATGCAGTTTTTATCCCCAGAGGGCAGAGGACTGTCAACAAGTCCATGTTCGCTGAGCAGAGGGTGAGGAGGAGGGTAGGAGGTGGTTAGAAAGATAATGGCTGTGAGAGGGTGCACGGATTTGGAGGTGATGTGAGGACTGATTCGCTGGGACATGGCAAAGACAATGGAGATGAGCAAGGACTGTGATGAAGAGCTTTGCCAAATTTGTTGCAGGTGAGGATGCAGGCAGCAGAGGTTTGGATGAGTTCTGGGTGTTTTATATAGCGCCTCTGTGTGAGGGCAATATATAAATACAATTTGTTGTTGCTGAGTTGCAGTTTTTGAATGGGGGAGTTCAGCAACAACAACAGCAACAATAATAATAATAATAATCCTTGCGTTTGATATAGCGCTTTTCACGTCGGGAGGACGTCCCAAAGCGCTTCACAGAACACACTGTAAAGTGAATTGACTGTATATTTGTGGGCGAACGCGGCAGCCAATTGCACACAGCAATGTCCCACAAACAGTCGTAGATTAAAAATGACCAATTTTTTTTATTATTGTTTTTGGTTTTGGAGGGATTATTATTAGGCTCTGTGTGGAGTAAGGAAACTTGCCCAAGGTTTCGCCTGGAATTGAACTCAGGTCTCTCGCTTGCAAAGCGAGTGCTCTAACCACTGAGCTACAGGACTCCACAATTGCATTTATATTGTGCCTTTCACATCGGGAGAACACCTCAAAGGGTTGAAACCAGTGAAGAGCGCATTGGAAAAGTAATCAGAATGTGACAAAGGAATAAATGAATGCTTCAGGGGTGTTCGGTGTAAGGCATGGGCAAAGGTGGGTGATGTGGACATTAAAATGGTAGATTTGGATTCCTTCTCAACTGATTGTCTAAAAACAATGGCTTTTTTATTTTCTAGAATTGTGCGCTTTCCGTGGCAACTGAGCAAAGTAAAAGTACAACGTACTATTGCCAAGGCTGTAAAGGTCTGGAGCGATGTGACTCCGTTGACATTCACAGAGGTCCAGGAGGGTGGGGTTGACATTATCATTGATTTCTCAAGGTAAGACTCATAGGGCATCTGTGACTTAAATTTGCCTCTCGAGAGTACCATTAATTGCAAGCCTCTGTATGTTGGTGTTGGTCATCAAACCTGGTGCCTCAGACACGCCCAGGTGCACCTCACAACGAATGACAATAACTTACATTTATATAGGTTGAGGGACGTACAGAAGGTCTGATCTGGCTGAACCATGGGGAATAGGTGTAAGCAGGTTGGAGAGGTAAGGAGGTGCAAGAGCATGAAGTGATTTGTAGGTGAGTGTGAGGTCACGGGGCAGGGAGTCATCCCACTCAGCTCCCGTTAACCTTGCAAGCCAAAGCCCTGACTGGTAGGGTGGTCCTATTTGGACAAGCAATAGGAAAGCTGGCCAGACAGCAATATCAATGGCAAGCTATGTGGTTTTAACTGGTTAGACTCCAGCAATTACCCCATCACACACTTTGGCTCTTGCTAACCTGCCCCTAATACTCTCTGGAATTAGGTGAGCAGGAAGTGTCCCTCCAGGGAGAGAGAGCACATTCCATTCCAACAATCTATCTCTGGGATTTCCATGTGTAGGTGGGACGTATGGAAATTTCAGGTTGGTTTGGATACTCTTAAGCACAGTGATAGGTTCCTGCATGTGTCAGACACCCAGCTGATCAAAAAAAAGTGTGAGCACCTTGAAATTGATCCATTTTGTGACAGGGAACCAATTGAGCCTGGCAAAAATTAGGGTGGTAGGAGTGCAGAGTTTAGTACGCGTGAGGATGTGGATGGTGACATTTTGAATCATTTAGACTTTGTGAATGATGGAGCTGGTTAGTGCATTGGAGAAGTCCAGATGGGATAGGCCAGGGAGGTTAAGGCAAAAAGAGGTTGACAGAAACCAAAGAGGATTGCTTCTGTCTTGTCCATATTCCAATGCAGAATGCTCATCCAATTTAATTTTAATGATTGCAAATTTAATGTTAATTATTGCCAGTTTAGTCTTAATTACTGACAACAATAACACCAACAACCTGGATGTATATAGTGCCCTTCACGCCGGACGGCATCTCAGAGTGCTTTACAGTAACGGATCCCGGGGCCGAGCCAGGGGGAGGGGGTGGAGCCATGGGGAGGGGGGGGAGCCAGGGGGAGAGGGAGGAGCTGGGGAGGAGCCAGTGGAGGGGGGGATCCAGGGGAAGGGGGAGGAGCTGGGGGAGGAGCCAGAAGAGGGGGAGGAGCTGGGGGAGGAGCCAGGGAGGGTGAGGAGCCAGGGAGGAACCAGGGTGTGGGGAGGAGCTGGGGTGGAGCCAGGGGGAGGAGCTGGGGGGAGGGGGAAGAGCCGGGGGGGGGGGGGGGGGGGGGGGGGTGGGAAGGGGAGGAGCCGGGGAGGAGCCAGGGGGTGGGGAGGAGCTGGGGTGGAGCCAGAGGGAGGGGGAGGAGCCGGGGGGAGGGGGAGGAGCCGGGGGAAGGGGGGGAAGGTGACCAAAGGTGCGGTCGAAAAGAAAGGTCTTCAGCAGAGACCTGAAAATGGGAAGGGAGTGAGGAAGGGATCCCAGAGCCTCGGGGCATAGTGGCTGAAGGCACGGCCACCGAGGGTGGAGCGGAGGACTCGGGGGACAAGCAGGAGGCCAGACCCAGAGGAATGTTTAGTGTTACATAGTGTTAGTTATTGCCGGGTTAATATTGTCAGATTAGTGTTAGTGTCACTTTATTATAGCTTCAGGTATAACATTAATACCAGTTTAGTGCCATCTTATACCACAATGGAGGTTCCAAGCCTTAGCTTTCGACAACTAGTGCCTAATAATCTCCAGAAGCACAGTGCGCCTCTCTAGGGAAGAGAACACGTATTCCATTCCTGACACAGGGAAATGTTCAGGAGTTTCACACGTGTAGCAGAAACATATATGAACTCTCGGTCTGGTTTTAATACTGTGTCAGAATCCCAGCTGATCAAAAAACATGTAAATTACTTTTTTTTTACTTTCTAGATATTGGCACGGAGACAACCTCCCATTCGATGGCCCTGGTGGGGTATTAGCTCATGCTTTCTACCCCAGAACCCCTCGAGCTGGGAACGTTCACTTTGATTATGATGAGATGTGGACAATTGGCAACAATAAGGGTAGGAACATCAAGAGCAGGTTTCGCTCATTAATGGCAAGGTGAAAAATAAACCCTAATGTGCTGACATTTTCCAATTATAATTCTTTAATTAAGAAGTTGCTAAAACAACATCTTCTGTGTAATTCCATAACAAATCAGGTAAAAGAAAAAAACAAAGGAGTGCTGTAGTGGAGTGGTTAGAGCCTTGCAAACTAGAAGACCTGGGTTTGATTCCCAGCAGCGCGAAATAGTAGGCATGTTTTCTTCCTCCACACGCCTCTGTAAGTAGGAACCCAATTGTTAGTCAATTGGCAGATTGCTTTTCTGAGGGTAATAATCCCTTCAACAATAAATAAATAAATAATAATTTGGTCACTCAATCCAAGACTGTTTGTGGGACGCTGCTGTGTGCAATTGGCTGCCGTGTTTCGCCCACAAAATGAACAGCCAATTCACTTTCCAGTATATTCTGTGAAGCGCTTTGAGACGTCTAGAAGACAATATAGATCATGACAGTATAGATCATGACAATATAGATCATGATAACATAGACCATGACAATATGGACCATGATAATATAGATCATGATAACATAGACCATGACATATAGACCATGACAATATAGACCATGACAGGCTGTTTTGACTTGTCCAGAATAGTAAAACCAGAGGACACGGCCTGCGATTGAAGGCGGTAAATTCAAAACGAATCTACGCGAACACTGTTCCAGTGAGTGAACAGTGAACCTGTGAAACAGGCCCCCGAGGGAGACGGTTGAAGCAGGAAGTGTTGATTCTTTCGAACACAGATTAGATTTTTTTTAGGATATAACGTTATGAAAGATAATATATAGGTAGTTTGGGACATATGTGCTTGCAACCGTCAGAAAGGTGGAAGGCAAACTAGATGGACCTAAGTCTTTTTTTGTCTAGAATTTCTTATATTCTTATATCAAATGCAAGGATTATTATTATTAAAATAAAAAACTATCAATTTTGTAGATGTGGTATTAAAATGTCACAGTCCAGATTGATTTCCTTGTCAGTATATCTCCAGCTTTGTTGCCCTTGCAATTCAGTCTATGAACCAGAAATTTGAGATGTCTGACTCAGTGGTAGCTCCTTGCCTCTGAGTCAAAAGATAGTGGATTCAAATCTCATGTTGGGCCTTGAACTTGAGTGTAAACTGACACTCCAATGCAGCACTGGGGGTGGGATAACGTCCTTCGGATGAGACATTAATCTGAGGTCCAATCTGCCTGTTCAGATGGATATTAAAGATCCCAGGATCTATTCAAAAAGAGAAGGGAGTTTCTCCCGGTGTCCTGGCCAATAATCCCCCAAATAAAATTTGGTCACTCATTTCATGGCTATTTGTGAGACGTTGCAATTGTGCTGCCGCGTTTGCCTACAGATACATAGCCACTTCATTTCACAGTAAATCCTGTGAAGCACGTCGAGACATCCTTCTGACGTGATAAAGCGCTTTACCAAATGCAAGGATTATTATTTTTTATATGATACAGTATACACCAACAACAAGAAAATTACATTTGTATAGGGCCTTTCACGTCGGGAGGACATCCCAAGGCACTAAGAGTATACACTTTACACTAGATTTTTGAAACCAATCATCCATTCAATAAAGCTACTTGTTCACATTTTGCTCTAAATGAAATTTTTGTGACACTGTTTCTGTAAGAGATTTTGTTGTTTTACCATTTTTTTCAAAATAAAATGAAAAAATGAGAATTTGACCCATTGTGCTTTTCCCTACTTCCACATCATCGCCCAGCATCGCCATTGCCTCTCCCCTCAGGCCTCTGAGACCTGTATCCATGCATTCATCACATCTAGGCTCGACTAAGCTAACTTCCTGCTTGACGGCCTTCCCAACTACTCCCTCTATAGATTGCAGCTCATGGCATCTCCCGCACAGGCTCTGTGACCCTATCACCCCCACTCTCCCCCGGCTACACTAGCTCCCCATTCCCTAGAGGATAGAGTTCAAAATCCTTGTCCTCACCTTCAAAGCACTTGGCCTTAAAGGGGATGAAGGAACAGAGAGACCTGGGGCCTTATCTAAGTAAATGTGGCCGGACAGGTAGATAAAACTGTTAAAGAGCATACAGGATAATAATAATAATAATAATAATAATAATCCTTGCATTTGATATAGCGCTTTTCACGTCGGGAGGACCATAGAATACAAGAGTCAGGAAGTTATAATGAACCTTTATATAAAACACTGGTTAGGCCTCAGCGAGAGACTGTGTCCAGTTCTGGGCCCCACACTTTAGGAAGGATGTCAAGGCATTGGAGAGAGTGCAAAGGAGACTGACCAGAATGGTACCAGGAATGAGGGGCTTCAGTTATCAGGAGAGGCAGAGAAGTGAGGATTATTCTCCTTGGAGCAGAGAAGGTTAAGAGGAGACTTAATAGAAGTTTTCAAAATGATGAGGGGATTCGATAGGGTGAACAGGAGAAACTATTCCCACTGGCGGGTGGGTCGGTAACCCCAGGACACCGATTTAAAATAGTTGTTAAAGAAACAGAGGGGAGGGGAGGAGAAATGTTTTCACAGCGAGTTGTTGGGATCTGGAATGCATTGCCTGAAAGGCCGGTGGGAACCGATTCAATAACAGCTTTTAAGAGATAAGTAGTTAATTATTTGGGGACAAGTTTGCAGAGCTATGGGGAGAGAACGGGGGAGTGGGGTTGATCAGGGCTGTGGGAGAGAGCGGGGAGTGGGGTTGATCAGGGCTATGGGGAGAGAGCGGGGAGTGGGGTTGATCAGGGCTATGGGGAGAGGGGAGTGGGGTTGATCAGGGCTATGGGAGAGAGCGGGGGAGTGGGGTTGATCAGGGCTATGGGAGAGAGCGGGGAGTGGGGTTGATCAGGGCTATGGGAGAGAGCGGGGGAGTGGGGTTGATCAGGGCTATGGGAGAGAGCGGGGAGTGGGCTTGATCAGGACTATGGGGAGAGAGCGGGGGAGTGGGGTTGATCAGGACTATGGGAGAGAGCGGGGGAGTGGGGTTGATCAGGACTATGGGAGAGAGCGGGGGAGTGGGGTTGATCAGGACTATGGGGCGAGAGCGGGGGAGTGGGGTTGATCAGAGTTATGGGGAGAGAGCGGGTGAGTGGGGTTGATTTGGAAGCTTTTTTCAAAGAGCCGACACAGACACGATGGGCTGAATGACCTCCTTCTAAGCTGTATAATTCTGACCTGGGTTCGATTTCTGGCAGGGCGACATATTGGGCAAGTGTCCTTACGCCACACTCCTCTGTTTACTTAGCAGTAAATAGGAACCCGGTTGTTAGTCGATTGGCGGATCACTTTTCTGGGGGTAACTTAAAAAAAAAATCATAAATTGGTCACTTCAATCACAACAGTTTGTGGGACGCTGCTGTGCGCAATTGGCTGCCATGTTTTGCAAGAAATTATTGCAAGGATTATTATTATTAGAACCTTGGTGGGGGTCCAAAAGAGGTTTACAGGAATGATTCTAGAGATGAGAGCTACAGTTATGAGAGATTGGATAAACTTGGTCTGTTTTCATTAGAGCAAAGAGGTTTGAGTGGTAACTGATTGAGGTATACAAAATTATGAGGGTTTCTCTTAGGATAAATAATGAGTTATTTGAATTAATAGTGAAATTTGTATCAAGTGGACATAGTTATAATATGACTGCAAGAATAGCGAAAGGAGAACTGAGGAGGAATCTTTGGTTCATAGAATATTTTTACTGAGCTATATTTTCAGATTTTCCAGTTCTATATGGCTATATGTAATAATAGTAATATACCTTGGCTTGATGTACATTGTATAGATTATTACAATCTTTGTTTGTTGGACAGGTACTGATCTCCTTCAAGTTGCGGCTCATGAGTTTGGCCATGCCCTTGGCCTGCAACATTCAACAGTCCCCAAATCCTTGATGTCGCCCTATTATAGTTTCCGTTACCCACTGAGTCTGGCTGAGGATGATAAACAAGGGATACAGTATTTATATGGACGGCCTCAGCACACATCGCATCACAGATATGAACACTTCAACCAGAACATTGAAACCAATGAGCTGCCCAGTAGCCACAACCCAACACAAGAGGTAAAATGGAAGTTCTTTTAAATAATAAAATGAAATATTACTGGACTCTACCAGTGGAGTCCTGTAGCTCAGTGGTTAGAGCACTTGCTTTGCAAGCGAGAGACCTGGGTTCAATTCCCGGCAGGAGGTGAAATCTTGGGCAAGTTTCCTTACTCCACACACCTAATAATAATCCCTCAAAAAAATAATAATAAATTGGTCACTTCAATCCACGGCTGTTTGTGGGACACTGCTTTGTGCAATTGGCTGCCGCGTTTCGTCCACAAATATACAGTCAATTCACTTTACAGTCTATTCTGTGAAGCGCTTTGAGACGTCGAGAAGACATGAAAAGCGCTATATCAGATGCAAGGATTATTATTATTATTATTATTATAATGTATTTTAGTCCACCACTGGCATTGCACAGACATCATTCAGGCACATTTTAGGTAGAATCTAGATCAAGGCTCATAGCTCACCCTTCCATGGATGAAACTTAGCAAGAAAGAAAATCAGCTAAATTTTAAGTTTCAGAGCCTTTCTAGGGAAAAAAGGAGGTCCTAGGAAAGAAAGCATTATAAGTAGTAGATGGTGCAATGAATCTTAATTTAAATACTGAGAAAATACAGGAAGGAGAAAGAACAAGTAGAATACCTGTAGGATACATAGTTGGAGTATGACAGGAACAAGAGAGGAAAGTTGGGAATAAAGGAATGGCCAGAATGGAATTTACCTCTCTGCTGTGCCAGGGTGTAAAGCAAAGCAGAACTAACCAGTCTGCTGTGCAGCCAGAATACAATCAATGTGCCAATGTATGGAGTTGGGAACCTGAGAGCAGAGGAACCAAATCTATTCATATTCTATGCTTAAAAACTCATTTATTACTGAGTAAGAGACTAAATGTGTATAAAACAAAAACAACTTGCATTTATATAGCACCTTTCATGAGGAGTAATGTCCCAGAGCACTTGACAGTGGCAGAATCTGACCCCGAGGCAGGGGGAGAGGGAGGGGGGAGGTGACCATAAGTACAATAAAAAAAAGTCTTTAGTCATGATTTAAATGTGGGGAGGGAGGGAGCAAGGGGGAGGGATTGAAAGAGAGAGTTCCAGAGTTTTGGGGCATAGTGGAGGCTAAGGACAATCCCAGGCACAGCCACTGATGGTGGAGCAGAGGGAATGAGGGATGAACAGGAAGCCAGAGCCAGATGAGCGGAGGCAGCGGTTGATGGAGTGGGGGGTAAGAAAATTGGGTAGATAGGGAGGTGGGTGTGGGGGCATGAAGGGATTTGAAATTGAGTGAGAGAATCTTGAAATTGATCCATTCAGTAATTAAGAGCCAGTGGAGCCTGGCAAGGTCCGGGGTGATGGGGGTACAGAGTTTTGTGCGGGTGAGAATCCGGGCAGCAGAGTTTTGAATTAATTGGATTTTGTGTATGGTGGAGCTTGGGAGACCAGCGAGGAGGGCATTGGAATAGTCCAGCCGGGAAGTAACAAAGGCGTGGTCAAGGGATTCAGCTGCTTTTGTTGTGTGGTACAGACGTAGGAGGGTTATGTGATGAAGGTGGAAAAAAATTGTTCTTGGTCAGGGAACGGATATGGGGTAGAAAGGAAAGCTGGGGATCGAACCTGGCACCTAAGTTGCGCACGAGTTGGGAGAGTCTGAGGGAGAGCCTGGGGAGTTTGAGAAGTTCAGACCCACAGGAGAGAAGACATTGATGGGAGCCAATGAGTATGGCTTCCGTCTTGATTTCAACCCCCAACTTGGGTGCAAACTCTTCTGCCAATGAATATAATAAGCAGTATCATTCTTACTGAGTCAGACAGATATATATATTTTCACATTAATACATTTAAGCAATATTATGCTTATCCTGGTTACCATGTTGACCAAAACATTTATTTGGTCTTTGGTTTTCTCTAATGAATGAGCCTCTTTTCAACCGCACCTGCTCTACATTCCCCACTCTGGCCTCCACTTACCAACTCCTTCCAATACAATACAAATTTGTATTTAAATAATGCATTTCACATCAGATGGATGTCCCAAAATACTTAATAGTACTAGATGGATGCCCAAGCTGGGGTGGGAGCCAAGGAAGGTACGAATGGGAAAGATGACTGAAAGCATGGTCAAAGTCTTGATACTAACCTTGTGCAGTCCTGTAGCTCAGTGGTTAGAGCACTCGCCTCGCAAGTGAGAGGACCTGGGTTTGATTCCTGGGTCAGGGCAAAACGTTCGGCAAGTTTCCTTACTCCACACGTCTTTGTTTACCAGCAGTAAGTAGGAACCCGGTTGTTAGTCAATTGGTGGATCACTTTCCCAGGGGTAATAATCTCTTCAAATAAAATAATAATTTGGTCACTCAATCCACGACTGTTTGTGGGACGCTGCTGTGTGCAATTGGCTGCTGTATTTCACCCACAAAATATACAGTCAATTCACTTTACATTATATTCTGTGAAGCGCTTTGAGACGTCTCGAAAATGTGATAAGACGCTGAATCAAATAATAATAATAATATAATATAATAATAATAATCCTTGCATTTGATATAGCGCTTTTCACGTCGGGAGAACGTCCCAAAGCGCTTCACAGAACACACTGTAAAGTGAATTGACTGTATATTTGTGGGCGAACGCGGCAGCCAATTGCGCACAGCAATGTCCCACAAACAGTCGTAGATTGAAAATGACCAATTTATTATTGTTTTGTTTTTTTGGAGGGATTATTATTAGGCTCTGTGTGGAGTAAGGAAACTTGCCCAAGGTTTCGCCCTCTGCCTGGGATTGAACTCAGGTCTCTCACTTGCAAAGCAAGTGCTCTAACCACTGAGCTACAGGACTCCACAAATGTGAGGATTATTATTATTGAATGAGGGAGGGAGAGAGTCAGAGAGACTACGGGATGGAATTTCAGAGAGTGACAGTGTAAAGGCTTAGAGGCCATCTGCCAATGTTGGGGTGAATAAAGGAGGGGAACAACCATTGCTGTTCTCACCAATTGCCTGTTGGACATCAAATTCTGGATGAAGCTAATTTTCTCCGGCTGTATGTTGACAACAAAACATTGCATTATATAGCGCCTTTCTCATTGGGATGACGTTCCAAGGCACTGGACAATCAAGAGTTTGCATCTGAGTTGGGGGTTGGAATCAATAAGAGTGGGAGCAAAGTGGGATGAAGGTGGGATGTTCACCAAACGCACGGTAAAAGAGGAAAATCTTGAGATGAGCCTTGAAGGAGGCAAGGAAGTGGGCAAGGTGAATTATTGAGTTCCAGAGAGTGGGGACAGAAAGGCTGAAGACCTAACTATGATGGTTGGGTGGCCAGGGCAGGGGAAACAACAGCAACAATATTACATTTGTAAAGTGCCTTTCAAGTCAGGAGGACGTCCCAAGGTGCTGGACAGACAGAGTTTGGGATCTGAGCTTGGGGTTGGGGTCGGGGAGGGTGGAGGGCAGATGGGGAAGCAAGGAGATCGAAAGCACAGTCGAAGAGGAGGCTCTTGAGATGGATCTTAAAGGTGGCAAGGGAGGGGGCAAGGTGGAGGGTCTGCGGGATGGAGTTCCAGAGAGTAGGGACAGAGTGGCAGAAGTGGGGAGAGCGAGGCAGGGGATGTGAAGCAGGCTGGAGGCCACTGAGCAGAGGGAGCCAGCAGGATGGTAGGGGGTTAGGAGGTCGCAGAGGTAGAGGGGAGCAAGACCATGGAGGGCTTTGAAGGTGAGGACCAGGATCTTGAACTGTATCCTCTGTGTATTGGGAAGTCAGTGGATTTGGACGAGGATGAGGGTGTTTGGGTCACGGACGCTGGTGCGGGAGAGGACCCGGGCTGCAGAGTTCTGGATGATCTGCAGCCTATGGAGGGAGGAGTTGGGGAGTCCGACAAGCATTGAGTTCGCATAGTCAAGCCTCGATGTAATGAAGGCGTGTATGAGGGCTTCGGCGGCCTGTGATGTGAGACGGTATAGGAGATGGGCGATGTTGCTTAGATGGGGGAAGGCAGAGCGAGTCATGGCGCAGATGCGGGGTAGAAAGGATCATTGAGGATCAAACAAGATGCCAAGGTTCCGGCCTGGCTTAGACATAGAGAATTGGGTATCATCCGCATATATGTGGAAGTTAACCCCATGCCTGCAGATGCTATACCCGAGAGGGTGTATGTAGATGTTAAAAAGGAGAGGACCAAGGACAGAGTACTGGGGAACGTGCGAAGGCTAGAGGAGTCACCATTGGTGGAAACAAACTGAAGATGATGGGAAAGGTAAGAACGGTTCTAGCAAAGTCAGAACCATGAAGGTGGAGCTTACAGAAAGTTGTGGAAGAATAGAGTGGTCTACACTGTCCAAAACAGCAGAGAGATCAAGAAGGACGAGAAGGCAGAGAGAGCCCTGGTCACAAATAAACAGAATGTCATTTGTTATTTTGACTGAGGCTGTCTCTGATCTAAGGGCAGGGTGGAAACTAGGTTGGAGAAGTTCAAACAGGAAGTGACAGGAAAGCAAAGAGAAAAGTTGGGAAGCAACGATTCATTTCAGGTCCTTGGAAAGAAAGGGAAGGTTGGAAATGTGTCAGTTGTTTGAGAAAGAGATGGGTCAAGGGAAGGTTTTTTAAGGTGGTGGGAATGGTGCCAGTAGACAGAGAGAGGTTCACAATGTATGTTGTTAGGGGGGCAAGGAGGTGGAGCTGGAAGGTAAGTAGGGGGGTAGGGATGGGGTCAAGGGAGGAGGTGGTGGGTCTCATTTAGGAAATGATGGAGGTGAGAGAAGAAGGCATGATGGGGTCAAAAGGGTACATGTAGCGATAGGTGCAGACCAGATGCGGAAGCAGTGGCTGTAGAAACGGGTAGATTTTGGACAAGGAAATCCATCATCTCCTCACATTCAGAGTTAGAGGAGAGGATCGGCGAGGCAATGGAAGGTGGAGCTGATTTCTGGTGGAGAAGAGGAGCCTGGGATAGTCCTTAACCTCCAAGACTTCAGGAGGTCAAAAATGTAATTTGTGTTTGTATCTCTCTGTGAATTGAAATAATAATAATAATAATCCTTGCATTTGATATAGCGCTTTTCACGTCGGGAGGACGTCCCAAAGCGTTTCACAGAACACACTGTAAAGTGAATTGACTGTATATTTGTGGGCGAACGCGGCAGCCAATTGCGCACAGCAATGTCCCACAAACAGTCGTAGATTGAAAATGACCAATTTATTATTGTTTTTGGTTTTGGAGGGATTATTATTAGGCTCTGTGTGGAGTAAGGAAACTTGCCCAAGGTTTCGCCCTCTGCCTGGAATTGAACTCAGGTCTCTCACTTGCAAAGCGAGTGCTCTAACCACTGAGCTACAGGACTCCACTTTAAGGGACATTTTAAGAAATCCTCTTCAAGGGACCAGTGTCTGAAAATAAATGGCACGGAATGTTTTATACTCTGTGATAGTGTAGATAGCAGTTCAAGCTTCCCAAAACTTAATGTGGTGTTATAATTTACTATGGAATGTAGGATGCACAAGGACAAACTAACAACACTCAAACATCTCTGATTAAGTCTTTATTGACTGCATGTTTTCTCTCCCACCTAAAAATCATCCAATTTATAAATACACATGCATTTCAAACACAGTTCGTAAATTAGATGATTCTCTTATCCTCTGTTATCGTGGACAATCACCAATGGAAAAGATTAGCATCAGACTCAGCTGTGATGCCTTTCTAATTGATCACACCTCATAGAAAATGAGCTTATCAGAGAAACTAGAAGATGCAAAATCCTACACAAGTCAGACAGGAACTTCAACGGAGGAAGCTTCAGAGATTTGTGCATTTAGTGTTCTAGCTCCATTTCCTTTTGCTTTTTCATTGCTTTGTCATATTGGTCTGACATTGAAAGTAATCAGCACTCTCAGGCTCTGCTATATCTCCCTCCCCAGGCACACACACACACACACACATACAGACAATCAAATTAGAGAAAAGTAAATCATCAGAATATGTGCATGGTATATGATTTATTAACTATGATGATAATGCATTACATAATGCATTTGCCCCCAATTTGCCCCCAGATATAATAGAGGTGTAAGATTTAATAGAAGTGTTCAGAATTATGAGGGGATTCGATAGGGTGAACAGGGAGAAATTGTTTCCAATGGCGGGTGGGTCGGTATCCAGATCAGTCAAATTTAAAATAGTTGCTAAAAGAAACAGAGGTAACTGAGGAGAAATGTTTTCACAGCGAGTTGTTGAGATCTCTTTCAGGAGAGAAGTAGATAGATATTTGGGGAGGACAAATTTGCAGGACTATGGGGAGAAAGCGGGGGAGTGAGAGTAATTTGGACAGCTCTTTCAAAGACCTATCATGGACACGATGGGCCGAATGGCCTTCTTCTGTGCTGTATAATTCTATGATTCTATGTGCTCTGGGTTGACTCTAAGCCATTGGTTTACTTTCACTTTGTGAACCTTTGCAGCCAAACGCCTGTGAAACAGATTTTGATGCAGTATCAATGATCCGTGGAGAACTTTTCTTTTTTAAATCCAAGTATGTGTGGAGATTGAGAGACCAATATCTGCAGCCAGGCTATCCAGCCTTGGCTTCACGTCACTGGTGGGGAATCCCTGATCACATTGATGCAGCGTTTGAAGACTCTTCTGGAAATTTTTGGTTCTTCCAAGGTTAGTTTTCTTTCCCAATTCTTGAAAATATATGGCACTTTTCTCTGTTTGTAGTCTTTCCACACTATACACCTTTCTCTGTTGAACTATATTGAAGAACAAATGGAGGGAGAGGAGACATTTAGCAAGGATTCAGAATCATCTGCATGTGGATGCCATAACTGAAATTGGAGAGGAGACCAAAAAAGGACCTTCACGTTATTGTGGTTTTAACAGGAAGAGCAAGATGGAGGAAATTAGCATAATGCATGTCAGGTTAGCTCAGTGGTCGTTCTCTTGCCTCTGCTTCAGAAAAGTCACAATGGGACCTGAACTCACATGATCTAAGCTGACTATGCAGTGCTTGTGGTGGGTTGCACTGTCTGGGTGCCGTCCTTCGCATGAGATGTTAGGCCTTATCTGCCTGTTCAAAGATGGACATTAAAGATCCCATGGCACTATTTGAAAAGAAAAGTGGGTTTATGCCAGTGTCCTGACCCAAATAAAATAGGTAATTTGTTTCATGGATGTTTGTGGGTCATTTCTGTTCACAGAAAGCTGCCACATTTCCCTACAAGTACACAGTCACTATTTCACAGTAAATCCTGTGAAGCACTTTGAAACATCCTTCTAACGTGATAAGTTGATGCCTCAAATGCAAAGATTATTACCATTATGTTACTACAGCTTAAATCACTCTGTAGAGGTAGTTTCTAAGTGTTTTTCAGTGCCGTGTTGCATAAGAATGGATGTAACTTTTCTTAGTATGTTTGAACTTCCTAAAATAGATATTTTTTGCAGGAGTTGATATTTTATTCCTTGAATATTTTGTCAAGCCATTTCTGAATAGTTTTATTAACAATCCCTTTTGCACCGATGATCATGTTTTATACTGCCATATATCATAGAATCATAGAATCATACAGCACAGAAAGAGGCCATTTGGCCCATTGCATCTGCGCCGGCTGATAAAAGAGCTTCCAACTCAATCCCACTGGCCCGCTTTCTCTCCATAGCCCTGCAATCCTGTCCTCCCCAAATACCCATCTACTTCTCTCTTAAAAGTTGAAATTGAATCGGCTCCCACTACCCTTTCACATATGTCCCCATTCAATTTGTAGATCAATATATGTTCCTGATCTTCTCAGTTTCTTAGAGTCCTCGCCTCGCAAGCGAGAGACCTGGGTTTGATTCCTAGCTGGGTGAAATGTTGGGCAAGTTTCCTTACTCCACACATCTCCATTTACTTGGCAGTAAGTAGGAACCTGGTTGTGAGTCGATTAGTGGATCGCTTTTCTGGGGTTAATATATTTCCTTCAAAAATAATAAAAATAATTTGATCACTCAATGTAAGCCTTGACTGTCCAGGAAAATATCACAATAACCTGGGAGTCACAAGCACATACAGATAAAACAGTAATTTCTAACAAACCAGATGTTATCATAGAGGACAAAATGGATTGTACATGTAGTGTCACTAATGTGGTTATTATTATTAATTATGGAGGCACAGCAAAATTGGACACATGGCACAAACAAACATGATATCAAAAAGGGACTTGGTGAGACTGATGGTAGGAGAAAAGATAGAAATATGACAAAAACAATGTTTAAGGGCTTACAATGAACATATTGTACAATATACATAATGTGGTTTGTCATATTAGGGCTGAAAAGAAAAGGGATCAAGTACAGATGAGAGTTCTATATAGAAGAGCAGCATTTCAATCTAATATTAGGAATTGATACTATTGAAGAGATTGGGTTAATAAGGAGAGTGAATTAATTTGAGAAGTAAGGAGAATACGTTATATGGAGACTATGATGATGTGTGTAATACCAGGCAAAATACCAGGAGAATATAAAATAAGATTAAAAGAGGGAGCACAGCCAATAGTGGTGACAGGACAGTGCCAGATATAGTGAAGCTAAGACGACTGGAAACATTGCAGAAGGAGTTCCTTTAGGAGCAGAGGAACCAACTGATTGGGTCAACTCAATAATGATCATTGAGAAACCAGATAAATCATCATGGATGCAAAGTATATGTTTGTATCTGAAGCATCTGAACAAAGAGATCAAAAGGAAGCTTTTTAGGGTTCCAACAATTAAGGATATTCATGTGAAACTGGTAGTACTGGACTGCTCGAATGGATATCCAGCCAGTTGTGTTAGCAGAAGAGAGCTCATTCCTGACCACATTTAACATGGGTGATATTTTGGATGATGGGGCAAAGAGCATAATGAGAGACTACGAAAGGTGTTAAAGAGGTGCAGAAAGTTAGGAACCAAAGAAAGAGAAATGTAGGATCAAGAAAATAGAAGAACAATATTTGGGGCATATATCAGAAAGAGGGGTGGATTGAGACTTCAATAAGGTTAGACTATTAGCACAGATACCACAGACAAAGTAGAAGTAAAACAGATGCTAGGGATGGTGAATTGGTTGGCCAGATTCATTCCAAACATAGCAACACAAACAGAACTTGTGAAAAAGGAAAATAAGTTTAAGTGGGAAACTAGGGTGAAGCATCATTGCTTCAATTTTATAATGTCAAGTAGAGGTGAAAATATCAGTATAAATATAAATATATAGATATAAATCCTGGAGTCTGTTGCGTCGTGGTTCATGCTTTCTCCTTGTAAGCAAGAAGACCTGGGTTCAAATCCCAGGCAGAGACAAAACTTTAAGCAAGTTTCCTTATTCCACATGCAATCGGGTTCTTACTTCCTGCTAGTAAGCAGAAAGCCGGTTGTGAGCCGATTGGCAGATCACTTTCCGGGGGCAATAAGCCCTTTTTTAAAAAAAAATAAGTTTGGTCACTCAATTCATAACTGTTTGTGGGACGCTGCTGTGTGCAATTGGTTGCCACATTTCGCACACAAAATATACAGTCAATTCACTTTGCAGTATATTCTGTGAAGTTCTTTAAGACGTCTCAACGGTGTGATAAGACGCTATATAAAATGCAAGGATTGCTACTTATAAGAATGGAGTGGGAGTAGTCATTCTGCAGAAAGGTCAATTGGAACAACAAAGTTATGTGCAGATTAATAAGGAGTGTTTGCCAGTAGTGGTAGGATGTTTGAAGTTCCACCACTGCATATTTGCCAAACAGGTTGAGATAGAAAATGACCGTAAGCCCTTGGAGAGTAATTACAAGGGCCACGGGAGAAGTTCCTCTATATATTCAGCAGATGAGGCTCCAAAAATACAATATCATGTTCAAATATATTTCAGAGAAGGAGCTGCATATAGCAGACACATGAAGCAAGTCTGGTGTCAATCTGGCTCAGTGATGACATTCTCACCTCTGAATCAGAAGGCTGTGGGTTTAAACTGACACTCTTGTAATGCTGAAGGTATTTTGCTTTGTTGGAGGTACCGTCCTATGGATGAAACATTAAAAAACAAAAGTACCGTTTACTTATTCAGGTGGACATTAATGATCCCATGGCACTCTTCAAAAAGAGAAGGGAGTTTTTGCTGGTGTCCTGGCTAACAATCTCAGATTTGCAGAGCAAACGAATAGAGGGACAAGAAGGTGATGATCAAAAGAAAACAAAATAGAGGATCCCCAAATATCCCTGTTAAAATATAGAAATACCCAAGTAAGGGAAGGAATCGGATCTCCGGCACAGATTTTCCTGACGAGGAGATTACATAACATAACATGTAGGAGTAGGCCATTCGGCCCTTCGAGCCTGCCGCGCTATTCAATCATGGCTGATCTTCTAATCTAACTCCAGCTAATAACCTGACCTGCCTTATCCCCATATCCCTTAATCCCTTTTGCAATAAGAAATCTATCTCAGTCTTGAATATGTTCAAGGACTGAGCATCTACAGCCCTTTGGGGTAGTGAGTTCCATGCATTCACTGCCCTTTGAGTGAAGAAGTTCTTCCTCAACTCAGTGTGAAAGGGCTGCCTCTGATTTTCAGGTTGTGACCCCTGGTTTTAGTTTCTCCAACCGGGGAAACAATCTCCCACTATCTACTCTATCATTGCCCTTTGATGATCTTATAGGTTTCTATAAGATCCCCTCTAATTCTTCTATATTCTAGAGCAGACTACCTTTGGCCAGCTGTAGCCAAAAGTAATAGAGAAGGCAACAGCTCAACGGAAGGAGCAAAGGCAAAAGACCAGGATGTGTATAACAGGTTTGTAAGAAAAGGAGAGCAGATACAAGTAGGAGACACATTGTGGAATGCAAAATGGCATCACACACCTATTGGGGGAGAAAGGAACAATAAGCAAAGAAGAGAACACCCCAACATCATAAAAATAAAAGGAGGTTTGTACAGAAGCAAGGGATATAAGAGGCAAAAAGTTCAAGGATCAAAAAGGAAATCCACAATAACACAGACAGAAGGACACAGACAGAAATGGTTGAGGAAAGACATAGCAGGGGGAGGGAGAATTACAAATCTTCCTGCAAGATGCAAGGACTAAAACAATCCTTCCAAAGGAAAAGATTCCTGAAAGTGAAGCACAAAATGAAGTTAAAAATGTTGTGAAAATGTTTCGGATGTATGGAAAACTGATATGTTCATTAGATTGGTTAACAACAACAACAACAAGATTCCATTTATAAAGCGCCTTTCACGTCAGGAGGACGTCCCAAGGCGCTGCACAGTTGGGTCAGGACCCGAGCAGGGGGAAATGGTCAGGGTGAGGGGAGGGAAGGGAGGGAGCGAGGAGGGGGGAAATGGTCAGGGTGAGGGAGGGAAGGGAGGGAGCGAGGAGGGGGGAAATGGTCAGGGTGAGGGGAGGGAAGGGAGGGAGCGAGGAGGGGGGAAATGGTCAGGGTGAGGGGAGGGAAGGGAGGGAGCGAGGAGGGGGGAAATGGTCAGGGTGAGGGGAGGGAAGGAGGAGCGAGGAGGGGGAAGAGAGTCGAGAGGGGAGCTGAAGGCTCGGTCAAAGAGAAAGGTTTTGAGACCGGCCTTGAAGGAGGAGAGGGAGGCAGTGGCGAAGGCACTGGGGGATAGAGTTCCAGAGCCTCGGGGCTGAGAGGCTGAAG